CAAAAAACCCATTGAGAATTAATACAAATTCACTGTATTTCAAAAAATAAATAGCTATATAACCCAGAAGTGTTGTTTGTTTCTGCCCATGAAAATGTTGCTTCTAATTGTTCGTGAAAGGTCAAATTATGATGTAATTCACTCATACTGAACAGCTTTTTACTCCCCATGTGATGCAACGAGAGCACGTGGGGAGTAAAGTCCTTCTCAGCGTAAGGAAAGTGATTAGCATCTGATTCTTATACTGATGCACAATTTTGACATGAGGTTTAACTTAAAGAACTTAATGATTTCCACCACATCTCTTCTACCTACGCTCCAGAAATAGATTCTGCTCACTTTGTTCCTACTTTCGAGGAAAGGAGACCCTCTGAGATCAACAGCATTGCTTACAGAGTAAGGCACTATTCCACATGAGTAACTGTAGTCCATAAAAATTTTCATTTTGCACACAGACTTCACAGATGCCTGGACTTCTCTGACTCAGAGATATTGCTGCTAGCCTCTCCTTGGCCTGGTGGTGTTACAGTGAAATGAATCTGAGGGCTTGAATCTCAACTAAATACAAAAAAGCAGGTATTTATGATGGAGTACTATGTTGCAATGATTGGTAAGAGACTCTTTCTGTTGAAGTCAATGACAAAACTCCCATTTCATTCAGTTCTACGGTTTTGGGCCCTAGATCAGTATTTTGCTGTGACATATAACTGCAGAATAATTGTAAGCATCTGTAAGCATTTCCTTTGCAAAACCCCAAGAATACAAATACATTCAGCCCTCCCAAAGAAATTTCTCAACGTGTACTTCTGCCAGTTCCTTAGGCCTTGTATACAGTGAGCATCTGACCTGGGGAGGGGGAAAGACAACCAAATGTGGTCAACCATGAAGCAAGAAGATTGTGGAGGCACGGAACAAATACATTTCAATGATCAAATATATACTGAAAATATATTTTCAATATAAACAGGAAATGAGTTATATGGAAAGGAATGTGTTAGTAGTTAAAGGCTTTTTTTTTTTTTTTTGGTATACTAATACCTGAAAGGAGAAGTTAGTTATTTCTGAGACTGCATGCCCTTGAAGAACTGGTCAAATATGGTAACAATTTCTAATGCTATTTTAAGTACATGCAGATTTAATTAAACCAAATTATCAGGGGTGGGGTGTTTTGCTGGAATCAGTCAGTCTTGATTAACATCCTGATTTCTTATTTTATTTTATCATACACTTTTTCATTTCCCCCTGCTTTAAATAACTCTGACCACAAATCAAAACCCCATGACTGAATCTAGAGATTGGAGGGAGAAACCTTTAAAATTTGAGAATGGTATACACACAAATGAAAGCTAAAAAGCAGGGCTTAGGAACAGTTACTAGTTGATTTGAAAACCTTCTTCTGTTTTCGGTGTATCTATCATGTAACACACTCACCACATCTAAAATCCTCTTTTCTTTCCTCACTTGGGAATTGTCTCATGCTAGTTTAATGTTTTGCAGGGCTAGTCCCCGTTCACCACATAAAAGCTTGCATCAGAATTAGTATCAGTATCGAACTTCTTTTTGAAAGCTCTGTCTGCTTTGGCCAGGAAAACCGTGAGCCGCATCTTACTCGGCTTGCCGCCTATGGGAGTTTTGCCATTGTCGCTTAGGGGAAGACGCAGGGATTTCAGGTCTCCCATTCTCTCCAGCTAATCAAACTTGAGGATACTTTTTGCTGACGTGAGCCTTATCACCTGCTTCCCTTGCCGCTAGAGTCAGAGACCAGCCGTGATGCAAACAGCTTTAACTAATCAGCTGCTGCGTAAGGTGCCATTCAGTCAAAAATCCTTCCTCTCTCCAAGCTGTCTACAGCGAGACGAAGCTGCGATTCGCTCTCGCTTGCCTTTACTCCTGTGAGCAGTTTTACTACTCTCGCAAGGAGGCCAGGAGCGGTCAGTGAGACTAGTGACCCGAGTAAGGGTTCTGGGATAGCACGCTTACAGTTTTAAGGCCTCATCCAAAGCCCAGTGAAATAAAAGGTACTCTTTTCAGCAGCCGTCATAGGCAATGTCTCTGCCCCTGCCGTTGCACAGCCTGGCTCTGCTTCTAGAAGAATCAAGAGCAATTCAGCCGCTTGCTTCATGTGAAGCAGGGTCAGGAACTTGGTTTGTTTAAGTTATAAAGATAAATTAGTTGTGCATCTTCTTTTTTAAATGATTTTTTTTTTCCTTCCTAACTAGCATTTGGTATCCCGCCCTCCTTCTCCCCAGGAAGAAAACACAAAAAACCCAACAAACTTCTGTGAATAATTTAAATCAGAAAGCCTTGATATTTTACAGAATGCTTTAGTGACAAATTTAGTGTTTACCCAATTGTTACAATTTTTTAAAGGTTTTTTTTTTTTTTGCAAACTGCAAACAAGTCTGTAAAAAATGCATTGTATAAAAAGTACATAAATGTATAACCCATTAGCTGTACTATGCAATCTAAATACTGTGGAATAAATTAGATAGAAAACTTAGCTATAAGCATGTATGTTGATAATTATTCAACAGAGGAAAGGGCTTTTTTTTGTTCTTTTCTGTCTTTTTTTCCTTTTTTTTCCCCTTTTTTTTTTTAATTTCTATTGATACATACAAATATGGACATGCGCCCATGCGCACATACATATGCACACACACAGACATGGAGAACACACACAGGCACGCGCGCACACAAACAGTTTTGGCTGACAAAAATGAAGGCCCTGATTACACTGGTGAAGCATGGTTCTGGCCATGAAGGTGCTTACACGCTGTCCCTAGCCAACGTGACTGGGCTAAATTGTGCTATAACATTAAAAAAAAAAAAAAAACCTTTTTGAACAAACCGTGCTCTCAACGAGGCAGGGGGCCGCGTTGGCGCTTCTTTCGGTGAGGGGCGTTTTGAAGCCCGACTCACCAGAAGGCACCTCACAAGGGCTCGGTCCTGCAAACCTGTGAGAGTCGGCAGCTTCAGGCTCAGGGTTATCGCATTCAGTGTAAACAGGGCCTAAAGGTTTCTCCCGTTCCCTCTTCTCATCTCCCCCTAAGCCAAAGACAAATGCTGAAAACTTTAGCAATCTTTTAAATACGACAGCGATGACAGAATTTTTTTTTAACAACCTATCTACCTATGCCCTATGGGTTGGACCCTTCAGGTTAGGTGCGGACACTGAAAATTAGGTCTTGGACGCGCAAACCCCGTCAGAGTTGCCGTGCTAGAGGGTGGTGGTTGAGGCAGCCAGTCTTTCACTACAGACTGCGTTTGAAACAGAAATCCTACCACAGCTTCCTTTTTCTGTACGCTTTGCCGGGGCGATGACGGGCAGGGCCCAAGGTTGCTTGCAGTTTTACACCAGTGCTGTCGAAGCGTACACCAGCACTTTAGGTGTCTCTCCCGCAGATACTATTTTGCACGTGTCCCTCCCACGTGTTAGTAACAAACAAACAGTCTTTCAATACACTGTGCTTTGCACACAAACATTCATTGTTTTAAGAACATTAAAGTGAAGCCAGAAGTGCTTATACCTTGTGTATACATACATATATACATACAGAAATATATACATATATATATATGTATATCCCTTGGATCAACTTGTTTCCCAGCACTGCACAGGTGCCGTGCAGCAGGGAAAAGTCTTAGTGTTGTACATGCAAAACGAGTACAATTATACCTAGGTGGGCGTTGGATCCAAGCACCTTGGATCCAAATCCCTGGGCTTTTCAGGGCTTTTGAAATCCAGAGCTAACTTCAAATCGCAATTTCCTGTTGAGGGCAGTATTTGAATTGAACTGGTTAACAGATATACTAGCCTGAATGTAATCAACCCACTGACCCTTAATTCGGACCCTAACTCATTACAGGTGAATGGTACCAACCACAAACAGACTTTTTAGAGGCTCGCACAAATGTCTTTGGTGTATGTGTCTATTCTTTTTAAGGTACAAAATAATAATAATAATTATAATAATAAAAATAGCTATTTTGTGTGCTGTAGCAGTTCTTGTATAGCTCACAATAAGTGCAGCTCTCAACCCCTCCCACACCCAACCACCCTCCCTTGCAAATGTTTGTTAAATAAGGATTAGACAGGTCAGACACCATTGTAGTGCAAATAGTAAACGATTAAAAATTTTTTTTACAAAATATAGAAATGTTTGGCTCCAGTAACTGGACAAACATGTTCCTTTCAAGTATCTCTCACTGAAGAATTTTGTTTTAAAACAAGTTACTTCCATTTAAAAAAAAGTCTTTCTGTTTTTTTTTTCTTTCTCTCGCAGGTAAACAGTTTCAAACCAACTAGGTTGCATAGTTCTAACGTTGTAAGCACCTTTACAAAATGTAACTTTTATTCTTTCATTCGTTCTTTTTATTTTTTATTTTGTTTTTTTCTTCATTTTTCTTTTCTTTTTTTCCTTTTTTCTTTTTTTTTTTTTTGTAAATGTAGTGCAGAAGATGAAGGTGTATACACCTGCACAATATTGTCCCTTTACCAATATAAGTAAGTATATATATGCGTGTAGTGTGTGTATGTATAGAGATATGTATATAAATACATAGCCACATATATATCCACACAGACACTACACACATAACTCAGTTCCTTGGTAAATTGTTGGGGGGAAAGTGCCAGTGAATGTAGTGTTCATACACATGGCTTTTCAAGGAATTTCAATGACATTTTGGACTTAGTCCAAATTGCTGCAGGTTAGATGAGCTGCTACCACGGCTTGAACTGATGGGTAACCAGGGGAGGGAACGTAACTCCCCTTGTTACAAGTAATGTTTAATATACTATCTAATAAGATAAGAAGCATACTGAAAGGAAGGGGAAATCCCCAACCCATACCGCCATTCAAATGCATCTCATTCAAGCCCTGGTTCATGAAGCTTTCTTTTTTCTTCCTTTGTATATCTTTAGTCTTTTCTGATCCTCCACAAGTCAGCTTTTTTTTTTTTTTCGCTCTCTCTCTTTTCTCTCTCGTTTTTGTTTTTGCTTTTATTTCGGTTGATTGTTTCATTCAAAAAGGTTATACCGTGTCAGGTCTTTCCTCTTCTTGGGCTTTTACAACATTTGCTTCTCAGCTTAACAGAGAAGGGTCTTGCACGCACGTGTGTCTATGAGCAGCCACACTCCTCCACAATCATATTCTGGATGTCTTTCTTAATGATGTTCTGGCCATCGTCGTAGTACAGCATGGACATGGGCCGCAGCTTGGTGGGCACACAACATGACTTGAGGTTGGCAAAGGGGCTATGGCCCCGCATGCGGTAATGGTTGATGACAGTGGAGTGAAAAGATAACGATGAACCGGATGTGCCTGCTATATGGCTGGGACACTCTCCTTCGCAGTAGTTGGCGTGATATCCTGTAGGTGCAATGATCCAGTCACTCCACCCTATGTCCTTGAAGCTGACAAAGAACTGCTTCTTGCAGCAGATGTTGACTTTGCCGTCACACTCCAGGCCTCGTCTCCGCCGCCTGTGCTGGCGGTCCTCAGCTTGTCGGGCGAGCATCATCAGGAAGGGCCTGTGTGATTGCTCCTTTTCCTCTTCTCCGGTGAATTCTCCAGCTTCCTTTTCTTTCCCTTCCCCATCATCTTCCTTTTTCTTCTTCTTGCCCAGTAGCACCAGGCTGGCTCCAGTCTCTTGGCACAGGTCGCAGGCAATCCGCACATCCAAGGAGCTCTTGCCTTGATCCAGGAGTCGCTGCACACTGCTGGAGACAGGGAAGATGTGCCAAGTGCTCTTACGGGTGTCCACTGCCTTCTCTGAAATCAGAGTCTCGCCCCTTTCACCTTTCAGCCCTCCATCCTCCGACTCTTCTGCTCCTTCAGAGTTGTCTTTCGGCTGCCGCTGCTGTTGGAACAGGCGGATGGTCACTTTTGTCCTGCTCCGGTTTGCCTTGGAGACCTTCAGGAAGAGCCACACTTCCGCGTGTTCCACCACCGATAATTCACTGCCTTCCTTGGAAATCTCAAAGTGCAATGTTTTCTTGGGTGTGCCTGAGTTGGTAAATGAAAATAGACAAGGAGAACGAATTAGTATGTCTGCTTGCATTCTGTCAAAGAGATTTTGTTGTTACCACAGGCATGAAGCTCCCTAGGTTTCCTACTTTGCTACTTTATAATTTTTTCTAATTTTTCTATTCTAACCCTCCTTCACCCATTCCTCTCCTGAGTTTCTGTGCCAAGTTTACATTTCTCTTTTGGGAAAATTTCCTCTTTAGCAAAGTATGTATTTGCCTGTTGTTTTCCAGGATAGTATTTTAACTGAAGCATTTTGTATATTTTGCATAGTAACGATACCTTTATGTTGGTTTGTGTAAAGCATTTAATGGCAAATAAGCATTACAAGCTGCTAAGAGTTCATTTGCCTGAGCTGTCTTTTGTGGTCACTGTTAGCTGAAAGGCAAAAATGCTTCTGTGAAGACAGCTCATGAGCATATCTCCTACACATACAGATCTGTGCCTAATAGCAAAAGATGGGGAGCAAGTTCCAGTCCTACCAATTCTTTGGCAATTCTTTGGGAACGATGTTGAAGCAAGATCTGTCCTTTCTCCCTCTGTAAAACACCATACTTCATGTGGGTCTTAAAACGAGCTGTAAATGTCAATTGTTACAAAAACAAAGGAATACTAAAATATAGGCCTCAATTTTGAGAGGTTTGCAGAATTACATTGTAAAGAATTGCAGAATTACAGCAGGCAGACTCTTCGTTCTGTGAAATGTTACCTGTAGATCCTGTTCTTAATTTAACACACTGTACTTGCTGTGATTATAGTAATGGTGAATACACTAAGAAATGAGCTAAAGAACTGTATAATTATGGGGATGGTTCTCTGGCATAATTGTATCAACTTGCTGAGATGTCATGATGATGATTATGATGGTGAGGGGGAGTTTCTGTGATACAGAGCTCATATCCCTGGCAGAAGCTGGAATGAATAATAAGGGCTGCTCTATGATTTGATCACTAGAGCATGAAGAAGTTAAGAGAGAATGAATTAGCTGTGTTTTTTATTTTTTTTAAGAGAGATACTTTTTTCTTAAAAAAAGAAAAAGCCATATTGGCATCTTTTTGTCTTTCTTTCTCAGAACGGAGGCCAGGAAGGACTAGGGTCACCGATTTGAAATACACAGATACCTGACCTTAGTTAGATAGCAATATTCATAGTTATTGATTTGTCATTGATACTGCTATTGAACCTACCCACGTTTGTTGATCCGTTTCCCTACGCAATGATTTTGTTTCTCAGGGAACCAGAATTTTGCACTGCGATCAGAACTGAAGTGGTGGAAGCATATTGAAAAAAAATCACTCTTGTGGCAGCAATGCTATTATCCTTGCTTTCTGTTGTCAAAGAACCACGCAAAGCATGAGCTTCCTAATCGTCTCCTGGCTCCCCCCATTCCTCAGATGAGACAGAAATGGGTTAAGGTCACAGGAGACATCTATCCTGTGTTCACTTGAGAATTCAAGAGTCCCCGATTTCTAAAATCTGTACGCGGGCTGCACTGCCCCTTGAGCTACCTATTACTTTCCTTCTCTGTGAAGTCCTGGCACTGGTATCTTCAGCTTTCCCTGGTGGCACTCTCAGGTCAAAGAGACAGACGTTTCTGAATTAGCGTGGCCAAAGGGCACAGCATTTTGTTTTTGTTTTGCCTCTAAGTGAGAGTGTGAAATTGTAGACTTTAACTGTCAGTGAGATAGGAAAACACATGGTTTGTGTTAACTGCTTCTAACAGACTTTGCTGATATCCGTCTCCAAAGCGGGTTGCATGAATTTCTCAGGGAGCTAAATGAACCAGTGGGACTGGGCCTTAGAAGAGGACAGAGAGTTATAGAAAAGACAGAGCAAACTGATCAATACTGTGGGACAGTGTGGAGATTTTATTTATTTATTTTTTTAAATGAGAGTCATTCAGTAACGACTGAAAGGTAATTACTTAGCCCTTACGGGCTAACACCAGTGTTTCCATTCTAGAAATTAAGCTATGGCAAAGCTGCCAGCTGTGTTAGAGCAGGTGTGTGACAGGCATTAATCCCCCCTCCTTCCCAGGGATGCACTGCATAAAGTGGTGTACAACAAGCATCCTCAAATGCAAAAGAAGCCTGGTTCAAGAGTCTGGCTGTATAATAAGAGATGTTATAAAGAGTATGCTATATTAGATACTTTCATGGCCTGTGAGGACCATCCATCCCCAAAGGCAGGGTGCCGGCTAAGAGCGGGCTGTTGTCACCAGGACTCTCCTTCTGGCCCTCTGCTGCTTGCTGTCCCTACCTAGGGAGGCCTTGGGGAAGAAGAGACGGTTCAGACCAAGCTACCACACATGGGCAACAGGCCTGGTTGCGTGCTCAGAGGAGAGCGGCCGAGGTGTGCAGCCCTTCCTCCACAGAGGGAGAAGCTGTGTGGCCTGTCTGATCAGAGAGGCCGGACAGCCCTGTATTACAGAATAACTTAATGCTGCTAAGTGCTAATGCGTGATATTTCACATTCTGTTATTTCCATTCTAGTGGGAAATGAAAATAGTTGCGAAGTGACATACCTCCAGCAGTAAATATTCATATTACCTTATGCACTGGCCCAGAAATGTAGCAATGTAACCACTCTTTTTGACAGATATTACATGAAAGAAACAAGATCTCAAGAACTCTGCTAATTAGTTTTTCATATGTTCCTGTACGTGTGAAAGTTGAATTCTTCCTCATTACTAGAAATATTAGAATAGTACGAAGAGCGTGTCTGAATATGTTTGCATCGCTTTTTCCTTGCCCTGCTCCTGAGTTTGAGCAAGCTAGCGTAAGACATGTTCTACTAGCATAACAGCCTCCGTGTGTGTGGTTAGCTACGTTTTCGCACACAAATGCGAAAGAAAATGCAGGAAGCTCACATGAGCCTAATATTTCTGCACGAAACAAAATACTCAAGTCCTCAAACCTACATAATTAATAAAAGGTTTTATAACAATTAAAAGGATCTTTCCCTTTCTCAGATCCTTACAGAGCAAGATGCGAACACTCTCACATTAGGAAAAAAAAGGGAAGCTTTTCTGAATTCTCTCCGCATTCAGAATTAGAGTGTTACGATCACACAGCACAAATGGTATGAATCCTGCACGCTTTATAAGGTCACTGTGGTCAGACAAGCTCATTTTGAAATCGCAGTTTGGCCTATGCTGAAACTGAATTAAGACCTCTGGGTCTTGCTTAATATGTGCGCACATTCACGTTACAGCAGGGTCTTTATTTCCAAAAGATTCTGTGACTACGAGAAAATGAATTCTTCAAGTGTTCCAGGATAAAAATTATGCTGTATTTCATGTTCCCCAAATTTTGCTTAGGGATTTAGCAGTCTTCCTTTTTGGTCCAAGTTAACGACCTTGTCCAAATCTTTAGAAATCTATACTATTCAGCTAGCTGAAAGTTAAAAAGAGACCTTACTGAAAGTTAGGGATGGCATCTCTTCCGTAACTATATTGTGTTTCTCCTTTTGTCCTGACTTTTCATCTGCAACAGCTGATCCGCAAGGGTCTTTTTCCATTTCTAATCATCCTGCTCCTCCTGCCTGACTCATGTGGAAAGACCCACAGCCCAACAGTGGTAATGCCTTCATCACTTCAACGCTCATATAAACTGCAGTGTCAACATCCTAGATTGTTAGCATAGTAGAAAGCAGCTGGAAAAGGAGACAGGGGACTACTCTGAGCCTGGTTTGATTGCTTCTCCTCCTCTCCCCTTCCCAAAACCTTGGAGAGGCCACCTCTCTGCTTCACTGCTGAGTGAAGGGAAGAGGCCGTGGCTGCAAGGGAACTGCATAGCAGCGCTAGCCACCCTGGTAAATACTGTGAAAAACGGTGAAAAATACCAAGCCCTAAGAAATCGGGCATATATAGTAACAGGTTTATGGAAGGAGTTAGTGAATGGAAAGAAAGTGAGGCATCAGCCTGTGTAGCATGAGCGTTTGCTAGCGTCGGATCTGATCTTCAGTGGTGCTCACACAGCTTTTTGGGGCAGGCGCCTGACGGAGAAAGCGGAGAGGCGCCTGCCCGGGTGCCCTCCTCTCCTGCGGGAGCCAGCTGCTAACGCGCACTCCTCCGCCGAGGCTCATGACCCTTCCTTGAGCACTGCTGCCTTTCAGTGTGTGGTCAAAGCCTCTTTATTTGGGATTTACGGTGTGCTTCGAGGTCGGGCCCCGTTGGTTTAATCTATCTATGCGTACTAGGGAGGGTCTAATCTGTAGAATTAAGAGAATTTGAATAAAATGCTAGGATAGTTAAAAGGATTTTTTTTCCCCATAACCATATGTTTTTAAATGCTTAAGGCTGCTTTTCTCACAATGAAAGTGGGTTATACTTCCTGACATTATAATATGACTTATTCTTAATTTCTCTTAATACACAATATTTAAATTTCACATAGCAAATGCTCACTGTATGTGAAGATGCTGTTACTTTAAATTTCTATTCTTTACTGCTGCTTAATTTTGAGCCGTTTTTATGTTATACTGTAAGTGAGCTGTTTTTCCATACAAAGCGAGCTTTTTTTTCCTTTTTTAGTTGCTAACTTTACTACTGCCTATGTTTAGATTTGGGGGAATTTGTACTGCGTGCCAATCTGTAATTACATTCAAAAGCATCCTTCTCTTCACTTCTCATTTCCGTTCCCCAGGAGACAGAAAAAAAAAATAGGTTACTAGAAAGGTTCCTCTAAAGAGAGTGAAGAGAAGAGCGTGGTTATTGAAAGATAATTGCTCAAAATGTTTACTAATGAGTGACCACTAGAGTTTAGATGAATTGTTCACAGTGCAGAATTTATTCAGTAACTTTAGCTCTCTTATCGTCTAGCAGTTATCCCCTAGGCAGACTGATTATTACAAATGTGTTATTACTGCGATTAGGCAGTGGCCGTTTATATGAACGCATTTCAGCCTATGGACCGCTGACAAACGATTTATTCTAACTATTCATTACCCCTCGTATGTGACTGGTCATTTAAGTTGCC